CCGGGGGGGGGCTGGTACGGAAGATGTGGCTGATACAGGTGATAAGCAGAGAACAGGTGCTACAGGTGGTGTTGAGATTTGTTCAATGAAAGGGAGGGGCAGTTGGGAGTGGACGCGTTTAGCACGGCGGTTCTGCACCGTTGTTGCCATGACAACAGCTCCTTCTGAGAGCGTCATATAAAGTTTTTTCAAAGTCGACACATGGGGACAAACCCATGGCTACAGCTGGATGGGAGTTGTCTCTCATACGAAACAGCTATATCTGAAGAAGATCCACGGTTAATTTGGCATTTTTCGATATGGTGTTTTCACGCCATGTTGAGCCCCACTTTTCATTTACTTGGCCGCCATCTTGTGACGTCAGCCGCAACCTAGCAGACACGAAAATACAAGCAGCACTCAGCACGCAGACAATTAAATTAACTTGTTTTTAAAGGATTTTTTTTTTTTTTTTTTTTTTTTTAAGTTGTACGTTCCATGCATCCTGGTTCAATCAACATATTTATTCTACAACGCACAATTTAGAGAATTTTTTTTCATTAGATAATATCTGTATCCATAGAGGAACATCTTCCCAAAACTGTCTCAGACGTCATTGTGGGCAGTTTCGATTCTATAACGACGACGATACAATGGTTTTTAATCTACATGACCCACCATCCGGACGTTCAGAAGAAATGCAGACAGGAGATTCACAAGTTTATGGGTGAAGATGGCTGTGATGTTTCAGATATAGACCGTTCCAAACTGGCATACACACAGGCAACGATCATGGAAGTACAGAGGGTGGCAAACATAGGTGAGGATGTCACATTTGATTATTGGGTGTCAAACATAGGAGAGTATGTCACATTTGATGATTGAATAGCTATTATAGGTGAGATTGTCAGAGTTGACAGTTAGGTGTCGAACAAAGGTGAGTATGTCGCAGGTTATGATTGGGTGGTGAACATAGGTATGTCGCAGTTAATGATTGGGTGGCGAATATAGGTGAGTATGTCACATTTGATTATTGGGTTTCGAACATACGTGAGTATGTCACATTTGATGATTGAAAAGCGAACATAGGAGAGTATGTCAGAGTTGATTATTAGGTGGCCAACATAAGAGAGTATGTCAGAGTTGATCATTGGGTTGCTAACATAGGAGAGTATGTCAGAGTTGATGATTGGGTGGCGAACATAGGTAAGAGTGTCACAGTTGATGATTGAACATTCGATACCAAAATAGTGGATGGAGAACGCCTTAGATTAATGTATATTTTTGAAATCTTGTTGAATCGATGTGTACGCAACGGTGCAGACATTTGAGTTAATTGGTGTTGCGATAAATGAAAGAAAAACATAAGTCAAATTTGTGATTTGACGATGGAGCATATTTGATATAATAAAAACCACATTTCTAAAGCAATAATTCCGTTTCTGAAATCCTCAGTCCCCATGCCCCCCTGCCACACGTCTGACAAGGACACACACATCAACGGTTACTTCATCCCGAAGAACACGGCCATCATGACCAACATGGACTCTCTGATGATGGGACCGGAAGTGGGAGACGATCCAATAGAGTTCAGACCAGAACGATTTCTTACAGAAGACGGGAGGCCATTTTATCCGAAATGGTTCTTGCCCTTTTCAACTGGTAAGTTAGTTTCTCTTTAAAAAAAATTTTTCTAAAACTTTTACAATGACTATAATTAACTGTAATTAAAAAAAGGGAAGTAACCTTTTAAAATGAATCTGTTTGCTTATAATAATCATTAAAGCTAACTTAATGATGATTTTTTTTTATTTAAGCCCTAAAATTACCACATACAAACAATTAAACATAGATAACACCACAAACAAAGTACTGGCTCACAATGCCATTTCTGTTTTAAGCCACTTATCAAAGAAATTCGACCTGCACCTATTTATCCCATCTAAATAATAGAGAAATATTCTGCATTTGTGGATCTTGTATCTAATTTAAACCACTTCAGAAAATAGTGAACCGTCTAGAGTTAGCTGTTTGTGCCCTTCTCTGTGGACCCCCACACCCTTCCCTGTGGACCCCCAGACGCTTCCCTGTGGACCCCCACACCCTTCCCTGTGACCCCCCACACCCTACGCTGTGGACCCCACACCCTTCCCTGTTGACCCCCACACCCTTTCCTGTGGACCCCCACACCATTCTTTGTGGACCCCCACACCCTTCCCTGTGGACCCCCCCACCCTTTCCTGTGGACCCCCACACCATTCTTTGTGGACCCCCACACCCTTCCCTGTGAACCCCCACACCCTTTCCTCACCCAGCCGAAAGGCGAATATCGGATCCCGAAACAGCCCGCCTGGAGCACTCGGCCCCTGAGATAGCACCCGCCCGCAGGCCACTCGATTGACGAGCCGAGGGGGGGGGGGTCTTTAAGCTAGGGGCAGATGACCGGTTTTGTAGTGAGGCTCCTACAGTAGCAGCATACAAACTTCCACAATTATTGGAGGTTACATTAACGATCTTAAATCGTTCCTACCCATCCCAGGGTGGCGTCAGGCGCCCTCTCATAAGTCTTTCTACATATGTATATTTGATCAAATTGTTTTATTTAGATTACCCAATCTCAGAACTAATAAATGCTTTATTCGTTGAGGGATGATTTACTTCAATTTTTGTTTTTTAAAGTGTACAAAGAGCAGCCCTTCCCCCCTCCCAATTCTTCCACCTCTCCTACCCCCACCTCTTCCACCCCCACCGTTCCCACCACTTCCACCCCTCCCACCCTAATTCGTCTATTCAAACTCTGCACTATGGCCCCTAATGCTTTCTAAGATGTTAATTATCTTTTTCCAAGAGGCTTCCCCTTCAGATCCCCCTTTTCTTTCTTACCGCGTTTAAGCAACGAGCCATGGGTGAATGAAGCTGACACTGGTAAAGCCAGCAGATAAAATAAACACTGGGCTCATTCGGCCCGGGTAGCAAGCGTTGAAATAAAAGAATGATAAATCCATTCAAGTATATCTCTTTGTCATGTCATGTTTTTTATTCCCCCAGGTAAAAGAATGTGCCCGGGAGTCAGTGTGGCCAAGAAAGAATTGCTAGGATTCGTTGTGGGTCTCTTGTCCAGGTTTCAATTTAGCGCTCCGCGGGTAGATGGGAAAGAGGAGCTACCTTCATTAGATGGGGTTTATGGTTTGACAAAGACGCCCCAACCATTCAAGTTCTGTATTCAGTCTGTGTAGCGTGATTGGGGGTTAGGACATGTTTGTTATTAAATTGTATTTAAGGCCAAAGTTTATTACAGCAATGTTATACATCAAATTTTAACTCTTACGGTCATTGGAGAGATGTTGGCTCCTAAATTATATCATTCGGGTACCGGTTTCCACACGTGAAATTAATTAAACTTTTTCGTGAAGTGAATCAATGACAGAAACATGAATGTTATCGTTTTATAATTTGAGCACGTTGTTAAACAAACTCGGTTCATGAATGTGTTTTATGTATTCATAGTATGTATCAATAGTATGTATTTATATCATGTATTTATATTCTTAACACTTAGTTCTTGCAAAGGAACGTTAGAAAAAGTTAACTTTCATTTTACTATACGTGTTTTACTCGAATATCCTTGCAAAAGAAGATTAAAAATACATTATTAATGTAATCATTTGATTTGTGTACACATAAAACAACTTCATCGCCAACTTTAAACGTGCTTATCTAATTGCAAACCTCAAGCATCACCAACAACATTAACAATGCGCCGACTCATTCTTATTTCATGAACGTATTCCCAACGATACGCTTGCTGAATTTTAAAAAAAAAAAACACTGCTATGCTATACTACACAAACATACAAGCAAATGTGAATCCTAAGAATAAATATATACTTTATGTACACTCTAGCATTTAGCATCACCATTTCAGTTTCTTTCGTGTGATTATTCAGTCCCAAGCAATGTTGCATTTTGCTTCTAGCTAGTATGCACTACCTTATTCACTATTCTCCTTTCCCAGAATTTTTAGCTTGATTCAGCTACTTTCCTTCTTATCTTTCAATTTTGCAGGTAACTTCATTTGAGGCTTCTTTTTCACTTGTAAAATCCTTGATATTAACTTCGCTTGTGTGTGTGTCTGTGTGTTTCTTTCTACCTTTCTTTGTTTGGGGCGGCAAAATTTTCGGAAGGATAACTGACCCACTTACCGTCATCCTATCAAGCTAAAAACTTGGCGCATAGACTCGATGCCCGTGAAACACATTTGATCGAATTTCTAAACACAGTAGTAACTGATTTTTAGTATGGGCTTACATTAAACCATTCCCATACCAAATATCAGTTACTACACTCACATAAATAATAAATCGCGTACGATTACACAAAAATGCAAAATAAAATGAGTAAAACAGAGTAGGGTTCAACCTGAAAAAATAAACGCAACAAAACAGTCTTTTTAAGAAAAATAGATTTCTGTTTTGTTGCATTTATTTTTTCAGGTTTAACCCTACTCTGTTTTACTCATTTTATTTTGTACGAACCTGATTGTAGTCTCTCCCCGTATTACCCCTACACAAATGCAAACAAAAATACGTAATGGAGGATTTACAAGAGAAACTTGGGTTGTTAAGGGGTTGTTTAAGTTTAGTTTCGTTGTGTTCCCACTAGATGGCTTCTGTTTACACAGCTGTTACGCAGACTCCACGTCGTTTAGTAGTATTCGTAACAATTTCCAGAGTTTATAATGGCGGTCTCAAAATACCCTTACATGCAATCTTAATTAAATCAATAATTGAATCCATTCACTTTTGAAACACGATACTTTCCATCAAATCTCCATTAGTGGTCTATGGTCTTTTGACCAGACCCCGGCTATGCAATTTTGATGCCCCTCGTTATTAAAAAGACCATCAAATATCCATATCTGTTTTAATTCTTATACTTTCCAAAAGATCTATAAAGAACATGTACATATCAAATATTTAATAAAGTTTCATTGTATTAAATGTTTAAATTAGTTTAAATATAACCAATAATGTGTTTCGTGTATTAATGTGAATAATTAATATTTTAACAATACATTGGGTGAAATAATAATCCTTTGATTTGAAAGCTGACATTATAAGTTATGACAACTCTGCTATTAGAGGAAAAAATAATATATTATTTCATAATAGTCTCTACATTTATATTTGATCAAAATTTATAGTGAACGTCTTTTTAAAAATGCTTTTTAAATTAATAAACTGTAAATTAACAAGTTAGATTTCCTGAAAATGCAATATTTAAAAAAAAATAAATTGAAAAACTCCACAAAGTTATTATTGCACGTTACAAAATGTCGATGCTTTTCATTGGATTCCTGTTAAATATATTTCTATAGGAAAGTTGAATTTAAAAAAAACAAAATATGTTCAAGAATATTGCATAGAGTATTTGGCAGGATCTGAATATCGACACGTAAAGGCAGGAAAACATGATGTTTTTTAAAGTAATTGTTTGTCTTGTTTATGACTTGTTTTATGTGTGTGCCCTGTTTATTTTCGCGTCTATTTTATATGGATATTTTGTATATATGTAGTTGTGCCTTGTTTATGTATGTGTTAACGGTTAGATGGACTTGTTGCTGTTGTGTGCCCTGTTGTTAAATGGACTTGTCATATACGTGTATGTGTGTCCTGTTTATGTATATGTCAATAGTTATATGGAATTTTTTTACATAGTTTCATGTATGCCTTGTTATGCATGTGTCAAACAGTATGTAAACATTTTAAATATTTGTCTGCACGCCCTGTTTATATATGTGCCAATGATTATGTTATAACTCGTTATGCCCCCCCCTCGTGATCATTATGTGTATCCATGAGATATTGTTAAAACTTGTTTTAAAGTGATTTTAAAATAAAAGATGTGAAGCCTTAAATGCTAACTATTGCTCTGTGTTTTGTTTTGTCATGACCTAATGCCACCTGAAGTGACCCGAAGTCACTTAATAAGGAATATTTAAATAAAGAAACACTTTACAATAACATTCAAGATAAAAAAAACTAGCTCTCACAAATATGAACAGTTTTGTGTGTGTCTGTGTGTGTGTCTGTGTGTGTGTGTGGGGGGGTGGAGTTATATTTTACAATTTGACTTTTCTCCTGCATCTTGGTATTACAAACTGTTAAGTTTGAATCAACCGACGTATGGAATATTCGTTTTAAGGTCTTAAAATGGTATATCATGTAAAGTAATATCTCATGTAAAGTGGTATCTCATATCAAGTAGTATCTTATGTAAAGTAATATCTCATGTAAAGTGGTATCTCATATCAAGTAGTATCTCATGTAAAGTAATATCTCGTGTAAAGTGGTATCTCATATCAAGTGGTATCTCATGTAAAGTGGTATTTCATATAAAAATGGTATCTCGTCTGAAATGGTAACTCATATTCAGTGATATCCCTTGTAAAGTGTATCTCTTGTATTTTTTGTTTGTTTGTTCGAAATTCACGAAGTCTTTACGGCTATAATATAAAACTATTTCAGGCCTGGTCTGAATGCCCTCGAATCCCATGTTCCCTTGCGTGCAGCCTTGACATCTTTATTGAATCAGAATTTATTCAATCACATTCCTCAAACCCAGCTCTCAGTATTGCTGTGCATGTCATCCTTCCGTCTTCCCCAGGCATTGGCGTAGCCACTGACAATTCATCAAATGGCTTACGAGGCAGATCCTCCAGTGGCAGCTTCTGCTGCACCTGACGCAGGGGGGGGGGGAACCTTGACTCCTGTTTAAATGTGGCCTTCCGTAACGTGGCATGGGCGCAGTGGTGTTGTATCTTTAGACGACTTAATTAAACGATACGAGCTTTGCTCTAAATCTCTCGTTTTAACCTAAACACATTAAAATCGGGGATACAGTGATATCCTTTATATTGTTGCTTTAAACAAAATACTTGTTGCTTTAGACCATTTTGGGTCTGCAAAACAAACTTTTTTGACCCAATACTTCGTCTTTTGGACAAAGGAATGAGTCTAATGTCGTGTCTTTATTCTAATTACCTTGGTTCTTTGTCTAATTTTTATTTTCTCTCTTTCTTTACCATCATAAGATAATTCAAGGTAAAGTTTGTTCTTAATTTCTAGTTTGAAAATGTTATAAAAGATTATGAACAACAGATTCGTAGTTCAATAATCAAACTTTTTAATATATAATATATGCCACCGTCCATGTCGTGATCTGAACTTAGTCAATGTTATAATCTGAACGTATTCAATGTCCTGATCTGAACTTAGTCAATGTCATCATCTGAACTTATTCAATGTCCTGATCTGAACTTAGTCAATGTCCTGATCTGAACTTAGTCAATGTCCTGATCTGAACTTAGTCAATGTCCTGATCTGAACTTATTCATGTCCTGATCTGAACTTAGTCAATGTCCTAATCTGAACTTAGTCAATGTCGTGATCTGAACTTAGTCAATGTCCTGATCTGAACTTAGTCAATGTCCTGATCTGAACTTAGTCAATGTCCTGATCTGAACTTATTCAATGTCCTCATCTGAACTTAGTCAATGTCCTGATCTGAACTTAGTCAATGTCCAGATCTGAACTTATTCAATGTCCTGATCTGAACTTAATCAATGTCCTGATCTTAACTTAGTCAAATTCCTGATCTAAACTTATCCAATTTCCTGATCTGAACTTAGTCAATGTCCTGATCTGAACTTATCCAATGTCCTGATCTAAACTTATTCAATGTCCTGATCTGAACTTAGTCAATGTCCTGATCTGAACTTAGTCAATGTATTGATCTGAACTTATTCAATGTCCTGATCTGAACTTATTCAATGTCCTGATCTTATTTTAGTCAATATCCTGATCTGAACTTAGTCAATGTCCTGGTCTGAACTTAATTAATGTCATGATCTGAACTTAGTCAATGTCCTGATCTGAACTTAGTCAATGTCGTGATCTGAACTTAGTCAATGTCCTGATCTGAACTTAGTCAATGTCCTGATCTGAACTTAGTCAATGTCCTGATCTGAACTTATTCAATGTCCTCATCTCAACTTAGTCAATGTCCTGATCTGAACTTAGTCAATGTCCAGATCTGAACTTATTCAATGTCCTGATCTGAACTTAATCAATGTCCTGATCTTAACTTAGTCAAATTCCTGATCTAAACTTATCCAATTTCCTGATCTGAACTTAGTCAATGTCCTGATCTGAACTTATCCAATGTCCTGATCTAAACTTATTCAATGTCCTGATCTGAACTTAGTCAATGTCCTGATCTGAACTTAGTCAATGTATTGATCTGAACTTATTCAATGTACTGATCTGAA